CCTGCCCGCCAGGGCTGGTGATTGATTGTCACGCCTTCCAGGACGCGTCTCCGCAATGCCCCAATATTCCTGCGGAATAAAGTGGCAGGAGATACATAACGTATCCGCTAAGGCCGACTGCGCTCACGGCAAACTTCGGGCCCGGCGGAGCGGGTCGCAGCCGCGTTCCCCGGGTGATGGGGGGGCGGGTGATGGGGGGCCCACGGGAATCAGCAGGCAGGTGATCTCCACTTGCCTTTTTTTTTTTTTTTTCCTACGGCCGACGCCAATGCCGAATTTTGTCACCGCCGATATTATAATGTTGCATTTAATGGGCTCTGCAGCTAAACGTGCATCCAGGGCTACAATCCCTGTCTTGTGGGGGTGGGGTGGGGGGGGGCGTTCGCTCTAAAAGCCAATAAGCAGCAGGATCTGACCTCACCGCCACTCGTGCCCCCCCCCCCCCCCCCCCCCGGGCCCCCCCCCCCCCGAGTGTCGAGCTGGTGCGCGGAATGCGTTTGCAATTATGGCAGCTCTCCAGCCCATGCGCGGAAGTGGGCTGGGGGGGGGGGGGGGGGGGGTTTATTTATTTAGGAAGCTGTCAGAACTGCCTCCAGAAGGATTGGCGCTGTGGAGGTGGCCCGGCTCCCCGTCCGCACGTTAATAAATAATGGGCATGTCAGCGTAACGTATGGGCCGCGGATTTATAATGAGCATTCCGGAGCGCATCACCGCGATCCCGCCACTGCTGCTATCCAACCCCCCCTCCGCACCCCCCCCACGCCAAGGAAGGGAAGGTCTGCCCAGTGACAATGAGCCACGGTCTCCACACCAACCCCCCCCCCAACACACGCACACCGTGCACCGCCCAGCCTTTTGCCTGCATTTATAAATATAAAAATATGCGCGCACACACACACACGCGCACACACACACGCACACCATGCACAGGCGTGTGAGAATGTGTACCACCTCACACGCATGCCTGGGCTGTGCATCTCTAGCCTGGGGGGGGTGGTGGTGTAGATTTGCATTTGTCAGAAAGTGTCGGCGTAGATTACGGGGTGCAGCGCGTCCGCTGATAGACGGGGGGGGGAAA